ACCTCATTCGTACGTCAAATCTTACAAAGTTGGTCTGTGCAAATGCAGGGTAGAATAGCGGTTACCAGAGGCAGGGTGGGAAGAACAGGAGAAGGCTGACAGCTATAGTTGGATAGAAAAAATAACTACTGTTGTTCCATTGCACAGTAGGGTGACTACAATCATGAGGTATTGTGTATTTCAAAAAAAAAAAAAAAAACAAAAGAAGAAGAAGCCAGGTGTGCTGGCACACATGTACAATTCCAGCACACTCAAGAGGCCAAAGCAGTATAATTATGAGTTCAAGGTCAAGGTGAGCAAAAAAGCAAGATCTCATCTCAAAAGAGCCTAGGAAGACAGCACTTTCAATGTTCTCACCACAAAGACATGACAACCGTCTGCAATGTCTGCCCTGATGTGAGCACTGGGCTGCGTGCAAGTGTGCTGAAGAGTCACATGCACCCCATGAACATCTGCATTCTGCATGCTGATGACTGGATTTGGTAACAAATCAAATGGCAGTACAAGGGATTGGGCCCCAGCCTGCTGGGTGCTGGGCAGTGCTCCACTACTGACCTGTCCCCAGCCCAAGGGCAGCGCACTCTTATTCTCAGCAGTTGTGGTCCATAAAGTTGCCTAAAAAATCCAAAGTGAGGTTTCTACAAATCTCTGGTCACAATGTTGTAATTAACTAATGGGTGTGTGTATATGTGTGGTTCTTTTTAAAAGAATCTCATTTATTAATATTATTTATATTTACTAATATTAAATATACTTTGTTGATTCATCAATCTTGATTAATTACTATCAATATTGAGCTAACATCTCAAAGCATATAATCATTAACTTCTAAATTCACCTTTAGAAGCTTATCTAAACAAAATTTTCTCCCTAAGCCAGAACCCAGTCTTTTTGCAATTAGGACAAGACAGCAGGGCAGCACAATACTGGGGGTCATTATACACAACAACGTCACCAGAAAAGTCCACAAATACGAGAGCCGTGTCCCTGTAAATTGTGGCTACTTGGGAGGTTGAGATCAGGAGGATTGCGGTTCAAGGCCAGCCCAGGCAAATAGTTTACAAGACCCCATCTCCAAAATAACCAGAGCAAAATGGACTGGAGGTGTGGCTCAAGCAGTAGAGCAGCTGCTTTGCAACTGCAAAGCCCTGAGTTCAAACTCCAGTCCCACCAAAAGAAAACTTTTTAGAAAATCACAAATATGGGGAAGTACATGGCACTCTAAGCAGGCCACAAAATGGAGGCCACCTGTACTGTGAGCAACAGGTACTCATAATCCTGTCACACCATGCATGCCCACAATGACTGCCTTTACATTTCTAAACAACTTAGAGCGAGTCAGTGATCTGCAAATACCAAATCCATAACCAGGGAGGATGCAGTGCACTTAGGGACACATCAGCAATACCTCCAAGGGTATTTACAGCCACAACTCACAGAATCAGAGGCACTAGGATGAAGAGTCAAAATACATAAAAGCATAAAAATTATTCACTATACTACCACACCAACAATCACAGTGGACATTGGGACAGTTTGCTTTTGGATACAAAAACATAGTGGACTACAAAATCTTGCTGTCACCACAAACATTATCCATTTTCCTCATTCTAGGCGCACTGTGAAAATGTACCCAGCATTCACTCAGCAAGTACTTTGCATGGCCCAGTTACAGGTGGGCACTATGTAATAGTCAATATGAATGCACCAGTAGTTGATTCACTTACTTTTTTTTTTTTTTTTGGGTTGGGGGGGTGATGAAAACTTTAAACAGGTTTTTGGAAGAATAAATGAGTAAATCACCAAGAATACTATGTTTTTCTTATTATCTCTTATGTTTTCTCTTCATCAAAATTGGAGAAGAGGAGGGCAGAACAGGGTCTGCCTGGAAGCAAGTCGGAGTGGGAGGAGGGGAAGGGGAACGGGAGCAGGGGGGAGAGATGGCCCAAACAATGTATACACATATGAATACATGTATAAACAATGAAAAAATAAAATGATACCCAGAAAAAAATTAAAAAGTAAAGTAGGATAGAGGGATGAAAAGAGTATTAAAATGGCATTTGCACAAAAACTCAGTATTTTCTTGTGATCATAGTAGTTATGTTTTTGATTGGTGTTTTTCTTGTATTTTAAATTAATATATGCATTTAAATAAAACGTTGTAGTTAAACAATGTTTCAATGAATGTTTTCATGGGTAAATTATTTTTAAATGGGGTTTAAGTACTAATTCAATTGTTAGTTTTAAATAATATATAAAAGACCTGGCGAAGTAGCTCAAGTGGTAGAGCACTTGCCCAGCCAGTGTAAGGCCCTGAGTTCAAATCCCAGTGCCACCAAAAATAAATAATATATAAACACTTATGCAACAATTAAGGAAGATTTGTTTTCTGAATCACAAAGCATGGAATAAAAGTGAATGAGTCGTTTTCAGTAATAGTAAGGTACTGTTGTAATTTAACAATTTGTCTTAATAGTTTCAGTCATACTCAGATACACTGAGGAAAATGTTTAGATTATAGCTTTTCCAGAAGAATATTATAATTAATGACAGGAAGATTTTTGGTGGTCAGCATATTTCGGCTGCAAATTCACATTTCTAATGATGTAATCAGACCACTGTATTTACAATTATTCTTGCAGCAGAGAAAACAAAGCCCATAATTATAAAGGATTGGCCAAGTCTGAGCACCACTAAGAAAGCAGTGAACAGCTATTAACTCAGTCTGATAGAATTATTTAAAATTTAACAATGAAACAACCATAATAACAAACTAATAATAACTATAGGACAACAAAATGTCACCACATCCAACATGCCTTGCCACATGGTTTCCCAGATGTTGGTGCATATAGAAAAATCGTCTTTCTATAATGAAAATTTCACCAATACAAAATGTAGTATTTTTTAAGAAATGATAATATTAGAGGGTGGGAAATTTATTAAGTTATTTTATTTTGCAATTTGGGGAAATAAAAAGTTGGTATTGTGATCACACTTTCTACAACTTATAGATGTTTTGTCAAATTATTAAATGGAAAACTTGGTACATGCCCTGGGCTGGCTTCAAACTGCAATCCTCCTATCTCTGCCTCCCAAGAAGCTACAAACAGGCATAAACCACCAGCCTGGCTCTTTCCCAATCTGTTTTCATAAATAGTGACATACTACCTTGTTCATAAACTTATAAGCAGTTCTGCTTATTTCTTAAATTACCAGAAATAAAACCACTGACTAAAAGGTCTAAACTCGCCTAGAAAAGCATGGACCACACCACACACCCTATCAGCAATCTGAGTGGCTTAACAAATCAAAATCATTGCTGCTTGCTAAAATGTGCTAATTTCTGTAGCACAAGAAAAAATTACAACTGATTGACTATGGGAAAGGTAATGTTATTGCTTTATTTTATTGTGCAAGAGGCTAAATTTCCTTCTGATTTTTATTTCCTGTTTTGAAATTTGCATTTCTTCTTTGGAAAATTCACCCTGGATATAAATATTTTATGATTAATAATATAGGTCAGGCATGGTAGTACATACTTGAAATCCCAGCTACTTGAGAGGCAGAGATCAGGAGGATCAGAAGCCAGTCCAGGCAAAGTTAGCAAGAGCCCACCTCAACAAAACAAGTCAGTAATGATGGCTCATATGTATGGTCCCACATACACGGGAGGCAGAGGTAAGAGCACTGTGATTGAGGCCAGCCCTAGGCAAAAACAGAAGACACTATCCAAACAATAGCTAAAGCATAAAGTGCTGGGGCGTGGCTCAAATGACATAGCACCTGCCTAGCAAGCACAAGACCTGAGTACAAACACCAGTATTACCCCACACACTTTACCACACACAGTTTTCGTGAGACCCTCTAAGCTGCTGTCTTAAATATTAAATTGGTATAGTGCTGTTTGGCAATATACAAACTATCTACTAAGCCATCTCATTAGATTTTAAGAGTGGGCAGGTAAGGAATGCTTTATGGAAGAGAGGATAATGAAATAAGCTTCCAACACATTTGAATGAATTTATATGGTTCAGTAGGTATGTGCTGACATATAATTTAGGAATATCATCAGCCTACCCTAAGCTCCATCTTTCTCCACGGCTCCTTGTTAGGGTTCAGTTCATATATGTTATTTCTTCTGACAGCTTCAATATATGCCTCGTGACCCTGTCGAAAATAGATTACCTACAAAAGGGAAGTACAGGCTGAAAGTTAACAAAAAGCTGTGCAGCAATGTGAACTCAATCCCCACACCCATGTTTTCAATGTTGACTCTCACCTCATCACCCATCTGAGGAACAAAGGGAGATTTTCGAAGTGCAGTGTCAGTTATCCACACTGGAGGACGAGGGTCTCTTAAGTGTCCAGTATGTTCAAGCTCTGTCCTCTTCCGCAAACTCTGCCAAGGGGAAGAGCAAAGCTCAGTAGACAGGAAAGGGGCAATAGCACTGACTGACAAACAAAAACTTCACAATGATAACTGTATTTTTTGGCGTGATCATCTTCTGGTTGCTTTTTTTTTTTTCAAGTAGCACATATATCTGCTTGGGGTTTTTTTGTTGTTCTTTTGGGTGGGGAGGCAGTTCTGGGGTTTGAACTTAGGGACTCACACTTTCTAGGCAGGTGCTCTACCACTTGAGCCACTCCACCAGCTGTGTTTTGAGCTGGGTTTTTTCGAGATAGGGTCTCGTGAACTATTCGCCTGAGCTGGCTTTGATCTTCCTGGTCTCTGCCTCCTGAGTAGCTAGGATTACAGGTGTGAACTACAGGCACCTGGCTATATCTGCTTTCTTAAAACATTCACAATCTGTTATTCCTAAAAAGCATTATCCATCTACCTGAAATGTCCTAGCATTGCCTCCTGAAATTCAAAAGATGCTTCATGCCACTTTATATCCCATGATCGGGTGCTAATTTCCAAACTGAATTTCTCCCACATGCAGGCTGTTCTGCCAAAACTCCAATCTGGATTTGACCACAAGCAATGTCACTACAAGTCTGAAATTTTAAGTCTGATGATTTCAAAATCTGACTGCAAATCCATTTATTTATTTATTTAGGTAAGTAGACTGGGGTTTGAACTCAGGGCCTTGTGCTTACAAAGCAGGCATTCTAACATTTGAGCCACATGTATAGTACATTTTGCTCTGTTATTTTGGAGATGGGGGTCTCAAGAACTATTTGACCAAGTGGCCTTGACCTTGCATCCTCCTAATCTCAGCCATGTCTATAAATTGTGATATTCCTTTCTTCTCTAAGCAGTATGGATGAAGTCTGCTCTTCTTGGAAATGGGCTGAATTCAGTGCCTCACCTCTGTTCAAGAGGATAAAGTGGAATTACTAATGTACACTTTGTGTGACTGAGTCACAGAGGCATCACGGCTTGCCAGGCGCTTGCTCTGTGGGACCACTGACTGTGAGGAAAGGCAGGTACCACGTGACAGGCACATTCAAGCAGCTCTAGAGAGGAGCACGTGTGGTAAGGCACTGAGTCAGCATCCAACATCTGGGTAAATGAGCTGCCCCAGGCAGCCCTCCAATGACTGCATGCCCAGCCAGTGTGCTGACCACCTGCCTCAGGGCCCAAATCACCTACCAAAACGTGCAACCATGTGTGTTCTTGTAAATTCCTAAGCTTTATGGACTGTGTTACACAGAAATGGATGACAAATACAAAGACTTAACGTCTTTAAGTAAGAGCTACCTGCATGACGTGAGCACCTACCATGTACATAAAAACAAGGAATGGGCACCTTATTATAATCAGAGAAATACATGGAGATAGAACATGTGAAATAAAAATGGTAAGCATGCCAATCACACGAATTGGCACAGTGGCTCACATCTGTAATCCAAGCTACTCAGGAGGTGGCAATTCAGAGAACTGTGGTCTGAGGCCACCATGAACAAAAAGTTAGCAAAGCCCACATCTCAACAAATAAGCTAGGCATGGTGGTATGCACCTATGATCTTGACTATGCAGAAGGCACAAGTATAATTGTGGTCCGTCCGAGTTTAGGCTCCAGGCAAAAACGACTCTATCAGAGAAAGGACTGGAGCATGCATCAAATGGGAGAGCACATGCCTAGCAAGCCTGAGGCCCTGAGTTCAAACCCCAGTACTGCCCCAAAAACCAAGGCAATAACAGACAAAATAAGACAACTGTACCCAAAAGTGCCTTGATGTCTATTTTAGTGAGTAATGGTGCAATTCTAAGCAAAACAGATCTTTCAGATCTGAAAAGTACAGCATCACTCAAACAGGGAGAAGTGTGAATAACAAAACAGCTTTCCCAAAGCAAGTTTACTTTTTCACATTTGACTCCTGCTAACATAATGGTATTAATGAAGAAATAAGGGCTGCAGGTGTAGCTTGGCGGCATAATGCATATCCAGCTTGTTTGAAGCATGGGATTTAATCCATAGCACCACCAGAAAATAAAAGGAAAGACAGAAGTAAAGAAAGAACTAAGAAAAGAAAGCCAAGTTCCAACTCGTAAAGGAGGTATGGTCACTAAACATGGAAACGCCACAATACCACGCGGATGCATGGGACTCTCACCGACATACTCCTCTTACCTCCTTTTTAGGCTTACTTTCTTTCTTTCTCTTCCGTCTTCTTTTTGGAGGAGATAAGTTCTCAGTGGACATTTCATCCTCAGAACTACTACAGAATCGAGTAATCCGTCGACGACATGATGCTCGCAAAGGAGGCTGCAAATTGATTCCCGCATCAGCTGTCCAGTCGGAGTATCTAGACGAAGAGTCACTGGAAGAAGAGAATATTTTACACTGCATGAGAACAGAATCAAAGCACTAACAGCAAGCCAACTGTATAACCCCAAGGGGAGACACCAGAGAGAACCCACAAAGAGGAAAGAGAGATCCTGCCTACAGTGCCAGCCAAGACTGACACTAGACATGAGGGAGGCGGCCAGCCTGAGTAAGGAGTGCACTGTAGATGAGAGCTGATGGAAAACAATGTGCACAGCCAACATACAACTCCTCTTCCCAAAAGCCATGCATGAACTTAGTGAAACAGTAATGGTCACACAAAACCCTTAGAAGGACACCCCCACCACCACCATGCTGAGGAGGCTGAGGATTAGACCAGCAATTTTAACTGGAAACCTAAGCCACCAGTGGATATGCTGAGAAGCCCAAGGGAAGCCCACTCAACCCAACACAGAAAGATGCTAAGTGGTTAAGTAAGGAATCCTCCCTGATATGGCACACACCCAAGAAGACAAGCAGAGTCAAAGAAAGCCAGGAATGGAAAAGTAGCTCCTGGCCCACAGTCAGCCTCATCCAACACATAAAGAGATGTAAAGGTCTCAACTGGCCCTCCTTGGTGAGCTGCAACCACACACCACTCAATCTCCATAAAACAACCCCAAAAACACAATTGCTCGAAGCTTCTGATTATAAAAACAGCTGCTCAGAAAACTTATAACAGCATCAAGTTTATATAAACAAATATCAAGAAAAGCTGAAACAAAAGGAATACAGACACAGAAAGGAGAATGGTGGTTACCAATGAAAGCCACACATTGAAAAACATGGGCGTGGGAGTTCAGGTCACATTGTTGCACAGCTTTCTGCTAACTTTCAGTGTGTCTTCCCTTTTGTAGGCAATCAATTTTCAACAGGCGCATGAAGCTCATATTGAAGTGGTCAGAAATGACATAACTGTACTTAACCCTAACATTGGGCGGGGAGCGGGGGGCGGGGGCAAAGAAACTGTTTAATGGGTACAGTCTCAGCTCTACAAGGCAAGAGGGTTCTGGACACTAGGTACACAACAAAGTCAATTCATACTATGAAACCACACTCTCAAAATGCTTAAGAATGTATTTTATGCTCTGTGTATTTTGTTGTTAATTCAAAGAAAATTTCTAAAGAACAATGAATACATGTATGCTCCAAGACACTATGCTAGCTCCCAATCATAATGGAGCAAAACTGACAAAAGAGTAAGCACAGAGTACACGACTATGGTTTGGACCAAGACAATACCCACAAAAACAGAAAATGAAGTAGGGTCACGAGTGTGATACATAGATGGGAGGCTTTTCTCAACATGGTAAGAATAGTGGATGGAAAGGGAAGAGATGAAATGCCTTGAGAATCTAACAAGATGAAGATGACATTAATCAAGGTAAGAAACAGAGGCTGACATTCTAGTCATTCTCAAATTTGGATCCTGAACCAAAGAAAATTTTTTTTAACACATGCAGTAATATACTAATGGATTCACCACACATATTTTGGATACTCCTCTTTTTATTGCTTTTTTATTTTTTTTGGCAGTACTGGGGTTTGAACTCAGGGCCTCATACTTGCTATGCAGGTGCTCTACCACTTGAGCCACTCTGCTAGCCTCCTCTTTTTAAATGTAGTTCAAAACTAAATTAACTTTTTTTTTGGTGGCACTGGGATCTGAACTAAGGGCCCTGTGCTTGCTGAGCAGGTGCCTACCCCTTGAACCACACCCCAGCCCCAGCATGTTTAACATGCATTATTCAACACTGACAGGTCAGATGCATGCAGTCTTCAAAACAGTTGTATATGAGCAGCTGTTAATCCAATATGCCTCGTCTCTTAAATGTACTACAGATGCAAATTCTTATTTCTTCAATGCCATTCAAATGCCGTGTCCCCCCCAATCCCAGGCTATGACTAAAATGCTTAAAGATGAAAATAATTAAAAACAGATACCTTGAGCTGCCACTGTAACTTTCACTCTTCCTATCACTTTTCCATTCATCTTCTGAAGAACAAGAGCCTTCACTTTGATCACAGGAAGTGTCCTAAATTGTGAGGGAGAGAAGAAAAATCTTGATCTTTTAAGCTAAATAACGTCATAAAAACTACAGTCATTCCAAAAAAGATGAAAATATTGAATAACTATGGTATTTGGTTAACAAAATTAAATTGGGTAAACTTAAAACGAAAGGCACACTTCTTTACTAAATCCTTACTTTTATAAAGGCATATGCCTGAAGAGAGCATGTGCGTGATTTAACATTGCCACTATCAGGACAGAAATGACGTCACAGGCCGTTTCTCTGGGTGCAGTTAATAACAAGTCAACATGGATGCTTTCTGTGTTCAGGGCTTCAGCTGTTCTATCAGTTGTGCAACTGCTTGTGATTGTTACTTTACTTCCAGTTCCCTAGGACATGATGGTGAGCATATTTTCATATAGTTATCTGCCATCTGTCTATCATTTTAGCCCATTTTGAAATGGGCTCCTCCTCCTCCTCTTCTTCTCCCCTCTCCCTCCTCCTCCCTCTTGTGCTTGCTAGGCAGATACTCTACCACTTCAGCCATGTCCCAGCCCTACAACTTTCACTTATTTTAACATTCATTGTTGTTATGATTGAGGAGGAAGAGGAGATGCCAAGTCTACTGTGTAAAACATCTTTGGTGGATAACATAAAGAAATGTTTGGGGGCTCAAGCAGTACAGTGCCTGCCTGGCACGTACAAGGCCCTGAGTTCAAACTCCAGAACCACAAAAATAAAAGGAAAGAAGAGGGAGGGAAGGAAGGAAGGGAGGGGAGGGGGAAGAGAAGGGGAGGGGGAGAAGGAGGGGAGGGGAGGGAACTTAATTGTTGCAAGCAGTTGGAAGGTATGATAAGCCTGTAAAATCCTCAGTGGCCACAACCTCCTACCCACCTACATAATTTCCTCCATGTAAGCCAAAGGGCCTGACAACTGAATGTGAGAGCTAAGACACTGATTTACCACTATTCTGATTCCCAGTTTAACTTCCATAACTACCATAGGAGCGGGAGAAGAACATATACCTGTGCTGTTCAAAAGGAATAATAAAGTTTTAAACTACCCAAAATCACTTTTAAAAGGATTAAAAAATGTGAAAACAATCTAATTACATAAAACAAATAGTTACAAAGAACAATCTTGGTAACAGGAGACAGTAGTGTTTCCATGCACAGAGCATCTTTTAAAGTAGCTGCCATTTTAAACACTGTACATTACTAACTAAATTTATTCTCAAGACACTGAAGGACATTCCTTTACACAGGCAAAAGCACAGAAAGGTGAAGAAATCTGCCTAAATCCAAGAATTTAAATTTTAACTCAACTCTGTCACTGCTATCCTACCACTTTATATAAGAATTAAGTAAACAGTTCAGCCAAATGAACATTACATTTCTCAAAACATTACTGAAGCAGAAAACATTAACATTCTAATATTAAACATATTGCCAGGCAAGGTGGCTTAACATATGCAATCCCAGGTACTCAGGAGGCAGCTTTCAGGAGGATGGAGGTACCAGGTCAATCCCAGCAAAAATTAGGAAAACCACATCTCAACCAGTAAGTTTGACATGGTGGAGGAACATGCCTGTCATCCCAGCTGCATGGAAGGCATAAATAGGAGGATCGTGGTTCTGGCTGGCCCAGGCAAATAGCCAAGATCCAATTCAGAAAATTACCTATAGCAAAAAGGGCTAGGAGAAGGGAGAGTGGCTCAAGTGCTACAGCACCTGCCTAGCAAGAATGAAGTCCTGAGTTCCAACCCCAGGAACCCCAGAAGACCTTGAACATTCTTCAAAAACAAAACCATGGTTTCAAAAACAAAATTTTAAAAAGAATAATTTGCACATGATCATTAAAAGTCAAACAGAACGAGACAAAGACTTTAAATACATTAAAATAACAAGTGATAAAAGAAAAAAATAATAAGTCCATCAAAATTTAAAACTATCACATCCAAAGGACACTAGCAAAGAAGTTAAAAAACTATCCACAGAATTAAGAAAATATTTCCAAATCATGTGTCTAATGAAGGATTTGTACCTAAAGTATATAAAGAACTTAGCAATGAAAAGAAAAAAGGCAAATTGAAAAACGAACTGCAAATAGAACAGACAATTCTGCAAAGACACACCCATGCTAAGCAAGCACATAAAAGAGGCTAACATCACTGATGATTAGGGAAGTGTAAACCACACCGAAAGAAACCACTACATGCCAAGCAAGGTCTTTCAAAGGAAAATGGCAGACAAGTGCAAGCATGCCCAGAGCCCCACCCCGCCTCTCTCACAGACCACTGATAGAAATGAAAGTGAGAAAGGCACCTTGGATGACAGCCTGGCAAGTCCTCAAAAAAGTTAAACACAGAGTTGCCACTGACCCAGGAAATCAACTCTGAGACATATGCCCAAGAGCTGGAAACACTATGTCCAAATCAAAGCCCGTACAGTAATGTTTACAAACAGCCAAAAAGAAGAAACGGCACAGGCAACAAACAGATAAACAAGGTAGTAACAGCTTTACAATCGTACATTATCAGGCAATTAAAAAAGAATGAAATGACAATACATGCTACACATGGATCAGCCTTGCAAACACACTACATAAAAGAAACTGGACACAAAAACCATATTGCATGATTCCATTTATATGAAATATCCAAAACAGATAGATATACAAACAAAAAGTACTGGTAACTGTCAGGGGTCTTTAGGTAGGGGCAGGAACTGGGGAGTGACTGCAGACGGGCACAGGGATTTTTAGGGGTAATGGAAATGTTTAATACTACTAGAGCATGGCTCACATGCACCTGAGGTGAGTATCTTATCAGACAGCTAAAACTTCAAAGAAATGCATCTGGGCATGATGACGCAATGGTAAAATCCCAGCACTCAGAAGATGAGGCAGGAAGACTCCTTGAGCCTCGGAGCTCCAAGTCAGCTCCCTGCGCTCTTCCCTCCTGCCCTGCAAAAGCTCAAATGGGGAAATTGCATTCTAATTCCTTATTCTCACAGAAATTTGGGGTAGACTCAAAGAATTAAACATTTGTCTAAGATCGTCTTACATATTTTAAAGTTGGTCTACTCACATGTCTGACGGAGCTTGAAGATTCATTTCCAGAAGATAACTCACGTCGGCCAACATTTCTTCGACCATAATTTGTGCGCCGACATGTTCTCTGTCTTGACTGTGACACCAAAGCCACTGACTCCGACTAAAACATGAAGAAACATGGGTAAAAATCAATGCCTAAATAAGGACAATATACACAAAACGGGCATTCTCTCAAGTTCCTAAAAGGAGTTCAAGCCAAAAAATTCAAGGCTTACATTGTTTTCTCTTGAGTATGCGTTATTTTTAGCACTGTGAAGTCAACCTTAGTGTTTTTATTTTAAATTCCTCAGAAGGTGTGAGAAAAAGCCCGGTGGGTGAGAGTATTTCATACCATGAATGAGGTAAAGTAACAACTCAAAAAAGATTTCACTTCAAAAAAAGTAATCTCAGAAGTGAAAAATATATCTCTATATTATGATGTACTTAATCAACCTTAAGAAATGTATCACTGTCTATATGTGAAGAAATAGCTGAAGTATATAGAAAACTATGAAAAAAATCCTTAAGCATTAACCCTAATTATTTCCAGATTTAAAGCTTTTAGGTGAATAGTTAATAGTACATTTCACTTCTGACTGACTTTCTAAAAAGCAAAATAATCTTTAAAAATTAAGCAAAATAAAAGAAACTATCGACTTTATTTCAAGTATCAATAATTAGTGCAGAATGATCATAAAATGAACTGTTTTAACTTGTCATACAGATTCATACTGAAGTCCTATTAATGAGTTTCATGACTGATAAAGCTTTCACTAAGAACAAGAAAATCTGGCAAAACATATTTTAAAGAATCACTTTGAAGGCACTACACATCTAAAAAGATTAAAAACTTAAAAAAAAAACTAAAAACTACAATTTCATTCTAGAAGAGAAAGATGAAAAGTCTGGGAAGTAAGCAAAACACTGACTAACTCATGAGTAAAGCGAACAGATTACAATTTACAGCCTATAACCAATGTTTCAAATCTCTCTAACACTAAGCATTCTGGAAGGGGGAGGAAGGAGGGGAAAGGGAAAAGAAGGGAAGAAAGGGAGGAAGGCAAGAGGGGAGGGGGGAAGGAAGCAGGGAGGGAAGAAAAGGAAGAAAGAAGGGAGGGAGGATGGAATGAAGAAGCAGAGAAATCAACATGTAATGGAAACTGGTCAAAGGGAAGCAAGTTATCAAAACTATGAAATTATCAGACCTATGGCTGACTCTCTAGGAATGAAAAGTTTACCAGAAAATTGAAAACTCTACAACCACCAAATGAAAATTCAGAACCAAAAGATATAGTGATTAAAATGAAGACTGTATACAATTGAAGAGAATTAATGAATTAGAATATAGGTCAGAAAAAACCTACAACAGCAGAAACCAGTTCAAGAAACAAAAAGGTATTACCAGAAAACACCAAATAACATGTGACTGGAAAGAGGAGAAAGTTAACAGATAGAAAGTTACTATGTACATACTATCCAAAGGAAGCTTCATTACCATAAAAGAATTTCAAGGAAAAACATTAAGCCAGGAGCTGGTGGCTCATGCCTGTCTGTAATCCTAGGAGGCAGAGATGAGGAGGATCGAGGTTCGAAGCCAAACTGGACAAACAGTTTTTAAGATCCTATCTTGAAAATACGCAACATAAAACAGGGCTTGCGGAGTGGCTCAAGTGTAGAGCACCTGCCTGGTAAGCGTGAGACCCTGAGTTCAAACCCAAGGGCAGAGGGGGAAAAAAAATTGGAACTATTACGTAACTGTAACTTTATAATCATGTTGAATAAATAAAATTCATTTAGCTACATAAATTATAATGCATCAAATTACATATGCAAATTAGAAATTTATACATAGATAGTGATGAAGTCTAATCTTTAGAATCTTTGAAAACTTATGTTTACCAACAAATGTAAAATATTTAAAAGTTCATAAAAATTAAGAGAACTTTTAAAATGTGGTTGACATATGAAAATGTTCTTAACTCTAGCCATTGGAATTAATTCAGAAAGTAAACATTTTTTTCTTTACACCACTTGAAATAAGAAAGCACTAAATTGCTTTACAATTATGAAATAAAATTATTTTTCTTTAACTCTCAAAGCTCGAGCCACATACAAAAACACAGACCCCTAAAACTTTAAGAGGGCCATCAGTGGAAACAAGCCGATGAAGCAACCAATAACATAAAAATCCTCTAATCACTGGCTGGTGGAGTGGCTCAAGTAGTAGAGTATAAAACTTTAATCACAACTATTTGCCACAACACTTTTTTTTCTAACAGTGCCTCCGTTTGCGTTGTGTCTCTTCATGAATTCAGTATTTATGGACGCTCATATGAAACCCAAGAAAAAATAGAGCTTAAATATTAACAAATAAGATTTTGCCCAGCAGAGTTTTGGTGGACCACAAACCATTAACAACAGACAAAGCTAACTGGCAGTTTTACAAGTCGAGACAGTTGGTGACGTGTGGAAAAAAGGATATAATCCTGACTGAGGATGGACACAAAGTGCTTTTGAAGCCCTAGTGACATTGTAATTCTTAACAAGTGGTCATTACACAATAACTTTCAACAACCCTTTCACACTGCTGGCAGGCAACTTTGCTCTGGTTTTCAAGCTATTCCTTCCTAACAGCCCCATGGTCTTAAGTCTACTTTTCTATCAGACACAGAAGACTTCAGCAATAAACACTGTGCATCAACAGAAATGTACTGATACTTTAAAGTCAGAAGGCACTCTAAATTCCAGTTTCAAGTTTGCTTGTTCCTCAACCAGATTTGAATTCACCTTCTGTGAGAGCTGAAGAGACTTCCTCTTCCTTCCGATTATATAAAGATGTCTCTCTTCCTCACCCTTCTCTATTCGAAAGTCTTCCAGCTTCCTACAAAATCAAATATCCAGCTTTAGCAGATATTGAATTGAATTGACATAAATAGCAAAAGTTAATGATATGATTCTAAGAATCATAGTATATGATTTTAAGTTAATATATAATATTCCTCAAGTTAAAACAAAACATTGAAAATTTGGTATAAGTATTTTTAAAACTCTCAAAAGCAGCTAGGAGATGCTATTTTTCATATTTATTACAAAAATATTCATTCATTTGTATTCTGACTGGTCCTATTAGGATTAATTCAAATGAGATATTCTGTATTAGGTACTCAGTGTGTCCGTGATGTCTCAAGACTGCAATTTCTCTCAGGAAATTTCTCTAAGGAAAGAAATAAAAGCAAAGTTGTCCCTCTCCAAACGTAATTCAATTCCACGCTTTATGATTTACAGAAAGCAAAAATAACAGTGTTCCTAGTTTCTCTAAGTTTTCTGTATCTCACTCACATGATACTGTGAGAAGCATTTCAAGACAGCTATCTTCCTGGGTACTGGTGGCTCATGTCTATAATCCTAGCAACTCAGGAGGCAGAGAAGAGGATCACAGTTCAAAGCCAACCCCAGCCAAATAGTATATGAGACCCTATCTCAAAAATGCCCATCACAAAAAAGGGCTGGTGGAGCGGCTCAAGTGGTGGAGCGGCTCAAGTGGTGGAGCCCTTGAGTAGCAACCATAAGGCCCTGAGTTCAAACCCCAGTACCACAAAAAAAAAAAAAAAAAAAACTAAAAAGAAAGAAAAGACAAAACTGCTATCTTGGCCACACTCTCTATATCAATGTGCAAATGCTGCTAAGGGGAAAAACTCATTTCTGAGGAAATCATTTTTTCCTACACTCAGGTTACCGTGACACATTACTCTATCACAGGAGATTAGCTACAGACTTAACCCTCTACAACAACTCAGTGCCACTGCTTTTGTTTAAGGAACTTGCAGCCGAATGACATCCCTACCCATATTGTTTGCTTCCCTTTGTTTTGACAAGGAAACCTGTGTACAACTGGCTATCAATCCGTGAAGCAAAGGAGCATGGGAGCTCTGATCCTCCTGAGGATCACCTTCCACTGTGCAAAATTCACTTCTAGTGAGGTGATCAGAGAACAAAGGCGTATGTTAAACATCACAGGCATGTGCAATTTCCACTATTACTGGGTCAAGACGAACAACGTGTCTGGACCCTCGCCCCAGTTTCTTCTTAGGGAAGCATATTGTGTAGCTATGCCTCTGTACAGAAGGGTCGTTTACCTCCACACAGGTATCTACCAGCTACATGCTTCACAATGCATATATACTTTTATAATCAGAAAACAAACTTTTAAACTCTCTTGATCTTTATCAAATCAAAGCCTAAGGAAGTTACGACAACTTGTTTCCATCACAGAGACTTGTTGCCAAAGGTAGCAATCTTTACTCCCTCACCCAGCATCTCCTTCCACACCACAAGACCTTCATCTTAGTATACAACACTGGAAAGAGTTAGGTTTTGTGTGAAAATTATATTGCAGCAGACAGTATGCTAATTCACAAAACCCCATGTTTTTCTTCCTCAGAAACAGAATCCCAATTTTTATCTAGACTTTTAGCAATCCACCCCCCCCCCCAAAAAAAACTCTTATGTCCCAGGCCTCCCAGTTAACTTAGTATGGTCAGATGACAACATTCTTCTTGCTAAGTCATGAGCAGCAATGGCCTATGGCTGCTTAGAAGGGCGTTGCTTAGACTAGAAGCATGCTTTTGCCCGCTGCTCACCTTCCCTCCTTCTTCTGACCTAAATCTTAGCATACACTGCAGATGCTGGTGTATGATGGCTAGAGCTTCAGCAGCAAGTTTGCACTTGACATGAACCTAAGACTGGAAGCCAAGGCTCCAGAAACAAAGGTGCTACCTGGCACCGGTGGGATCGTAGTTCAAAGCCAACCTGGGCAAATAGTTCTCGAGCCCCTCCCTATCTTAAAAAAAAAAAATCCCAAAAAAGGACTGGCTCAAGGTGGAGTGGCTCAAACGATTTCCAGTCTGCCTTTAGGTGAGAGAGTAAATGCTTATGGGTTTAAGGAACTATTCTTCAGGTATTTCATCACTGTTTTAGGTAGTACTGGGGAGTGAACTCAGGGCCTGGTGCTTCTAGGCAAGCGTTCTACCACTTGAGCCACTCCACCAGCCCTCTTTCATCACTCTTGATATGTTTGCTTCCCTTGGTTTTGACAATGAAAAGTATTCCAAACACAACACTTTTGGTACTGATGATCATGAAACTCAGATTCTAATTCATAAGGCTTAATTATAGCATACCATGTACGTAATAGTGATTTTCAGTATTTCTCATCACAGTCTGCTATTCTGCAACTATTTTATTATTGTGCATTTTTTTTAAATACCCTCAAAATCACTATACAATAGTTAAGTACTGTCTTAATATTACTCTAAGCCTCACTGAATCTCCTCATTCAAGAAACACAGAGGGGGGCATGGTGGCTCATGCGGTGTAATCCCAGTTACTCCTAAAGTGAACACCTGGAGGACTGCAGTTCCAGGCTGGGGGAGATACCCCTACATCTCAACCAATGTATAGGTGCACTGGCACACACCTGTTATCCCAGCTACACAGGAACGCACAAATAGGAGGATCGTGGTCCAGACCAGCCTGGGCATAAACTTGAAATGGTATCTCAAAAATAACCAATGTAGCCGCGTGCTGGTGGCTCATGTCTGTAATTCTAGCTACTCTGGAGGCAGAGATCAGGAGGATCCTGGTTCAAAGACAGCCTGGGCAAATAGTTCATGAGACGCTATTTCGAAAAAACCCATTGCAAAAAAAAAAAAAAAGGTTGGTGGAGTGGCTCAAGGTGTGTGACCTGAGTTCAAACCCTAGTAGCACTAAATAAATAAATAAACAGAATACTCACTGTAAAAAGGGCTGCTGGACTGGAGTGGCTCAAGTAGTAGCGTGCCTGCCTAGCAAGTGCAAGGCCCCAAGTTCAACACTTGTTGCTCCCCCCTCCCGCCCCCGGGGAAGGGTGGAGACGAAATCTCAGAAGCGTAATTTTATACTAAAACCAATTTACACCCAAAGACTAAAATTGGTTCAAAGCTAAAGGAAGAAAGGGAATAAATCTTTAAATTAAAGGTAAACGAAGCAAAAGCATGAAGCATTTGTCTTGCTTTTTATACACAGATTTTACTACTGGATAATCCAGTTACTTCTTTTTTGTTATTAATACAAAAAAAGAGGCCATGGCAGAGTTGAAATATCACCTAATGAATTAGTAAATCAAGGCATTAAGCATCAGTGGCTGCCAACTACATATCCTGTGTGTCTTCCAACAGAACTGCACCACTTATGAAAAGCCTCGTAGAGACTGACAGCACGCATGGCGTGAGATGCGGACATTTACATGGCTGTACTGAAGACTATGACAACGTCACTGTGCTTCTATTTTCGGACAACTCCTTATTTTGAGAAATATATACTGAAATACTTAGAGAAAACTGGTATGTCTGGAATTTTTCAAAACAATACTGAAAGGAGAGAAAGAGATGGCTACAGATAAAATAAAATTATAAACGAGAGACTTACCACAGGAAAACTGTTAAGAAAATAATTTTGATACTTATCTGTCACAAGTAAAATAGATTCCCCTAAACTAGTAAATTAATTTCTATGGTTACTTGCACAACTACTAGAATAAAGAGCAAGCAAATAAGCACACTGCTAGCCTTTCACAAATACAACACAATATAAATAGATATCCTAAAACCAACCTGAACACGCCCAGTGGCGCCTCGGGCACGACCACTCTGCGCTTCCAGGCCTGCAGATCGCGCTCCGTAGCGATCTGACTTCGGGGAGCATTTTGATGCATCTGACGAACACCTTCAACTTGCCCACTACGGCGCAGACCAATATTTGGAGGAGACTGGATGTCTAAGCTTAGTCTTCTGAAACCTAGGAAAAATCATCAACAAATTATTCCAAATTAATTCAAGTTAATTCACATTTTACATGTAGCAAGTATAGATTCCTCCCAATGTGACATGTACCAAAAAGAAAAAACTCGTAGTGCGACTAAGACCAAAATGCAGAATACATCAATTTTACTACTTTCTGAAATTATAAAATGTTCAAATGTTTTCCATGATGTTTGCATTTCTAAATGTTTTGCCTTCTTCAAATCTGAGACCAAAAAAAATGCCTTTTGGTAAAAGCCACATTGAAATGGCATTTAACAAAACTACACAAACATTAGCTGTGATGATGTGAGCCACCAAGCAGGTAGTGGTCACGTGGGTATTAAAAATTCACACAAAAGAAATGCTGTGGAAAATTCTGGAAGCACTCAAGTAGAGCCTGGCCAGTGATCAACAAAGCAACACAAACAGCAGTGAGCTCAAGCCAAGGGGCTGTCATTAAGGTGGGCCCAGGAAGGAAGGCAGGCTCCCAATGCATGGAGTCACAGAGGCGTGAGAAACACCTTGAGGTGGAAGGCCCAGGCAAAGTGCTCATCTTCTACAAACACAGGGTAAAGGTTCGTCTGGAGAAACTCCCCCTTTTCTGAGGGAGAACATAAAATCCTACTAAAGCTACACCAGCTCTCACTGCCTAGGTAAAAATCCACATAAATGAACACAATGGTTGCATTCTTCTATGTACTGCACTCCATATACCGATCACAGAACCAGCATGTGCTGCAAAAGCACACCACTCCACATACTAACAAACATTTGTATGAAAACAGACTGGGCCGGGGGTGAAGCTCAGTGGCATAGCACTTGCCTGGCATGTGGGGGACCCTGGGTTTCACCCCTAAGCCCACAAGAAAATAAAAATTAAAGTTTACAAAATAAATATATATACACACACACACACACACACACACACACACACACACACACACACATACTGAAGTTGAAGAAGCATTTTTGAACTAAGAGGGAAGTTTAAGTGCAAGTCATAGTGTGATCCAACAATTTGAAAACATGTAGAAGGTTATCACAACAAAACTTAATAGCAAAGCATAAGAAATACCTCAATGCCCATAGACAAATTACAAAGATTAGTTATTCCACAAAGTGAAATACTATGAAACTATACAAAACAATGAAGAAAAAAGCAGTGAGTTGTTATGGAGTGACTCCTAGTATACACTAAGAAGAAAAAAGCAAGACAGTGAAGAGTGCAGTATCTTAGGCCTCTTCCCACAGTGCACCAGACACATGCATCAGTGTTCCTGCCTACAATGTTTAACACTTGAACCCAGTCATGAGGAAATGATCAAGCACACCTAAGCTGAGAAAAAAACCTGTGAAACAAAAGTACCAGTAATGTGAACAAACTCTAAATTCAGTGCCATGAGAAAACTTTCCTGGATTTATGTAGTAAAAAAAAAAAAAAGTTATTTTCTTCAGTTACTAACACTTTGTAAGTACTCTACCTTTACAGTAAAAAATGTTTCATTAGCCTTTCACAGTACTTGAAAATCTCTTTTCGAAGAGCAAACAAACCTTCAGAATACTTCAGTGTGACAAGGTGCACGTACCTGACAATGACTTCACTTACTCTAACTTCAACGTAAGCACCTGGAACATTTGCCATGATCACTTACCTCTCCGAGGTGTTTCTTCCCCGTTGGAAAGCCCACTTGGAACAGCATCCTGATCTGCTCCCATTCTCTGATCTTGCTGCTGCTGCAGCTGCCTTATCATCCCATCAAGAATGCTGGGTTCTGGGCTCCGTTCACCATTGTCATGGGTTTGCAGGCTTATAATTTGTTCAATCACCTCTCCATCACCTGCAGGTTCAGTATATGAATGTGTAACCATAATGCGTAAGAACAGAAAAGCCTCAGTAGACTACGATTTACAAGCACAGTGGTAAAGCACTTAGGCCTAGTATGTGCAAAGACACAGTTCAATAACCAGCTCAGCAAAAACAGACAAAAAGATTCAAAACAAACAAAATCCTTCACCCAGAGCTCTATCACATAAACCTCAACCTGGCCTCTAGAGGCCTTGGAGCAGGCACACGGAAATGCATTCCTATAAAGAGTTATATGCCATGGCTTGCACTTCTACACAATGTACTTCACAGCATCTCTGCCTGGATCTCTGAGGCAGAGACAAGCAGTGACATTTAACTTCCTCTACACTGTCAAGGAGAAGGGAGGGAAAAAACCTTTTAGGTCTTCAACACAAAACAACTGTAGCAAAGCTGGGCAAAAGTGGCTCACCATGTAATCCTAGCTACTTGGGAGGCTAGGATTGGGAGGATGGAGGTTCTAGGCTAGCCATAGCAAGTAGTCTGTGAGACATCCATCTCCCAAATAACCAGAGCAAAATGGACAGGAGGTGTGGCTCGAAGGGCTGGGCACCTGCTTTGGAAACGTGAGGCCCTGAGTTCAAACCCCAATCCCACCAAAAAAAAATACCCAACTGTAGCTTTCTGCTTGCCTAAGAGTTCTGAGAGAACAGATGCTCAGAAAACCTTACACAGGCCTCTCCCACTAAGTTTAAATTATCTCTTGGTTATGGTTTTGTTGTTGTTTGTGTTTTCTGCTTTAGGGCTGGTGAGCAACCAAGGGCCTCTGCAAACTAGAAAAGCCCTGCACCACTGCGCAATACTCTCAGCCTGAGATGCGTTCTTAGCAAAGTCAATTCCAATTATTTTCATTACAAGCACAGAATCAGATCCTTTCAAGTGTCTTTGCTTCTTGATTTTTCAAATGAAGCCTTTTTAGAGACATTTAATAGACTTGTAAATGTTAATGGAAAAAGTATTAGATGGCTGTGGAATAAGAAAAATGGTTTGGAAGTCAGACACCAGAGGCTCACACCTGTAGTCCTCACTGCTCCAGAGGCTGAGATTGGGAGGATCATAGTATGACGCCAACCTGGGCAAAAAGTTCACAAGACTCCATCTCAATCAATGGCTGAAAGCCTGGGTGTGTGTCTGTCACCCAAGCTATACAGGAGGCTGAGATCAGGAGGATCCAGGTTCCAGGGCAGCCCAGGCCAAAAAAAGAGAAGTTTGAGAGGCCACTATCTCAAGGGAAAAAAAGCTGAGTGTGGTGGCACAGGCCTGACACCTCAGCAATGGCAGAAAGCATAAAATAGGAAGGCTGTGGTCCAGGTCCACCTGGGCAAAAAGGAAGACCCCCCCATCTCCTAAATAACCAACTAAGAAAGCCTAGAGGTAATGGCTCAAGCACTATAGCATCTGCCTAGGAAGCACAAAGTCCTGAATTCAAAACCCCAGTAATGTCAGAGAAAAAAAAAGAAAAATGGTTTTAAGATGTTTAATTTTAGTCATTTCTTTCAAACACTCTTTATAAAGCCTCTTATTCTAAGATAAGGCTTTTCTGAATAGAAATCAAAATGTACTCATCTCACCCATTTGATTATGTTATCAATTAAAAGTCATGCAAAGATACAACTTGCCAGTATAGTAACAACAGATCTAGAAACTGAAAAATCTCGTAAGCATCACAGAGGAAAAAGACCTGCCTCCTACTACTCAAGTTACACACCCAGACCTCAATCAGTAACATCTTCACTGTACTATCAAAACCAATGAAGCACTAAAAAAGATCCAAATGTTGTAACGTGGATTAACTGTATCTTTAAATTTCTTTGGTCACTCTCAAAAAATGAGCTGAAAAACTCAAGAAGTGGTGCTTAAAAAGAAAAGATTTTATTTAAAACTAGACACAACATAAAACTTCAAAGATTACAACATGGGACCAAATGGGAAATAGTCTGGAAAAACAAGATTTCTAATCTTCATACACACACACACACACACACACAC